CCTGAGCAGGGGAGGGACAGAGAGCGAGAGAGGGAGAGAGAGAATCCCAAGCAGGCTCCCAGCTGTCAGTGCAGAGCCCAACTCATAACTCTATCCCATGAACCTTGAGAGCATGCCCTGAGATGAAATCAAAGGTTGGATGCTTAACCAACTGAGCCACTCAGGCGCCCCTATTGTCTCACATTATGAAGAAGAGCCCCCTTTGGCCTTTTGGGAGCAATGGGAATGTTCCAAATTTTTATTGTGGTGGTTATATGACTACTCATTTGTCAAAGCTCATGCAACTGATGACTCAAAATAGGTGAATTTTACTGTATATAAATTATACCTCATAACTGATTTTTTAAAAAGGCACAGGGTGCTGAAACTAGCAAATGGAAGTTGAATGAGGAACAGAATACTGTATCAATTCAAAGTAACCCCTCCAGATTGCTCATTAATTACAACTGAAAAAAGCAATTTCGATGGAGACTAAGTGATACTACCTAAAAACAATCCAATCTAATCGCCAACAATGGGGTTAAAATAAGCCTCTTGCTATGATGCCCTAAGGACATTCCTTGGTGGAATTCCTGCCAAAAATGCATATCTTTATCTAATCACAAGGAAACATCACATGAACATGTTCTACACAATAGCTGGCCCGTATCCTTCAAAATATCAAGGCCATGAAAGATGAAGAAAGGCTGAGGAGCTGTTTCAGATTAAAGGCAACTAAATAAATATGATCGTGGATTGGATCCTGGTCTCAAATCTAGAATATTTGGACAATTGGTAAAGTTCAAATATGGAGTGGATTAGGTCATTATTTTATTGGGGCGTGTGGGTAGCTCAGCCAGTTGAGCAGCTGACTCTGGATTTTGGCTCAGGTCATTATTCCAGGGTGGTGGGATTGATCTTTGTGTTGGGTTCTGGGCTGAGCATCCTGGAGCCTGCTTAAGAGTCTGTCCCTCTCCCCTGTTTGCACTGTCTTTCTTTCTGTCTCTAAAAAAAAATAAATGAATAAAAATAATTATTTGATCAAAGTTAAATTTCAGGATTTTGGAGTGCCTGGCTGGTTCAGTTGGTGGAACATGTGACTCTTGATCTCAGGGTAGTGAGTTTGAGCCCGGAGTTGCAAGTAGAAGATTGCCTAAAAACAGAATCTTAAAAAAAATAAAGTTTTAGAATTTTGAGAAGCGTACTGAGGTTTGTTTGAGAAAAAAAGCCATTGTTCTCAGAATAGTGACACAAACATCCATGGGTAAAGGGGCATGATGAATGCAGATTACGCTCAGATTGCTCAGGCAGAGACAGAAAGAGGAAAGGAGGGCTCAACTGGGACATAATATTAACAGTTGGTGATTCTGGGTGAAGGGTATACAGGCTTTTTAAAAAACGATTCTGTAACTTTTCTGTAAATGTGAAACTGAATTTTAATTTCATTACGTTTTTTTTTTTAATTTTGTAATGTTTATTTTTGAGAGAGAGAGAGAGAGAGAGAGTGCATGTATGCCCCTGTAAGCGGGAGAGGGACAGAGAGGACGGAGGATCTGAAGCAGGCTCTATGCTGACAGCAGAGAGCCCAATGTGGGGCTCGAACCCATAAACCATGAGAGCATGACCTGAGCTGAAATTGGATGCCCAACCAACTGAGCTATCCATGGCACCCTGAAATTAAAAGTTTCAAAAAGTGTCCTCTTAACAGTCAAGAAGCACATAAAAAGTGAGCGCCACTTTATGCTCACTAGGATGGCTGTAATCAAAAAGATAAAAGCAAATGTTGCCAAGAATAAGGAGATATAGAAACTAGATGCAGTTCCTTAGAAAGTCAAATATTAGAGTTACCATTTAATACAGCAATTCCACTCCTAGTGTTGCAGGGTTCTTTACCTCAATACCTGGGATTTGTTGTCTCGCCACTTCGAAAAATGAATACGTGGACAAAAAAATGAGCAGTAGGCAAGTTTCTTAGAGTAAAAGATCAGAAAGTAAGAATACTACGAAAGCTCTCTTTACAGAGAGGGGACACTCGAAAGTGACTACAGGCAGGGTTTCTTGTTTTATAAGGTTCTGGTCCCCCCCCCCCGCCCACCTCCCCACCCCGGCTGTTTCCTATTCAGCTCCTACCCTCATTGGCTTGATAACTCTAGGTGCAGGTTTGTCCATTCCTGATTGGCTCAATTCCATTGTATGAAGGGTGGTCTATGGCCATATCATTCCTTGTGGGTCTTTTTTTTTTTTCTTTTCTTTTTTTTTTTTTTTAATTTTTTAACGTTTATTCATTTTTGAGAGACAGAGCACAAGCAGGGGAGGAACAGAGAGAAAGGGAGACACAGAATCCGAAGCAGTCTCCAGGCTCCGAGCTGTCAGCACAGATCCTGACATGGGGCTTGAACCCACAGACTGTGAGATCATGACCCAAGCCAATGACCTGATGCTTAATCGACTGAGCCACCCAGGCACCCCAATTCCTTGTGGGTCTTAACGTTTTATGGCCTAGTACTGATTAGGCCTAAAGTTAGCTCTTTTGTCAAATTCCTGAGGGAAACCTGAAGGGGAATAGATGGTGTCTGTTACATTCTTTAGAGGAACCTTATATCTGAGGGGGTTTGCTGTGGTCAGACATTCCCAGAATCTTCCAAAATATGTATTTTTCCCCACCCAAGGACTTCAGGTCCTAATCTTTCCCTCTCTGCCTATTTTTATCCTATCTTTCCCTATCATACTAGGTAGATACCCAAGAGCATTGAAAACAGGTACTCAGATATATACTTGTACTCAGATATATTAATGTTTATAGCAGCATTATTCACAATAGCCAAGAGGTAAAAAACAATAGGTAAAAACAACCCAAATGTACATAAACAGATGAATAGCTAAACAAAATGAAATAGAACAGTGTTCAGCAGTAAAAATAATGAAGCATTGAAAGAGGACTTAAATCACCTCCATCTTGACCTCAGTCAGTGCTTTCTAAATCATTAATTCTTCTTTCCAGCTTATCTCTTAACTCAGAAAAAAGACCTGGAGGGCAAAGCATTCCCTTGATGGGAACCGAAACCATCCACTCCAACAGTAAGGACTGCCCTGAGCCAGCAAGCCTTTTGCATGATTGACTCCCAGACAACCTGACGGACCTCACCTTTATGTCCAACTGCACTCACACACCAACCTTCGCCCCATATTTTCCTTATATAAACCTGGAAGTATATTCAGCAGTTTAGAGCCAGTCTTTGAGATGTTAGCCTGCTCTTTTCCCAGTGTCAGCCTCACTGAAACACATTCCTTTCTTGTTTCCCCACCATTCCTCTCTTGCCCTTCGGGTTTTGTCAGTGGCAATTGGTTGAACTTGGTCTGTCTGGGACCCCTGGAGCCAGGTGTTCTTGTATCCCAGTGCACTGGCTATGATCCAAAGAGTCTAAATGACCAGAGACAATGAGTATCTCCCAGAAACAGGAGGAGACAGCAGATTGAAGACCACATGGGCACCCCCTCCAATACTTTGACTTTGTGTAATCCCTACAACCCTGGCATGCCTTGGAGAACAGAAGAAAATTCCCCAAAAGGGATGAGATGGAATTATCTACCATCCCAGTGCAATGGGAGCTTGAAATCAAATTTAAGTTGATGTGTACAAAGTAACAAGATGGGGTAGTGTAATATAGTGATTTATAATAAATATGTATTAGGTCTTCATCCCTATGCCTAGAACAAAGTTCCTGGAACCCTAGGGATTTCTTAAATGATAAGAGTGATAAAGGTGTTTTTTGTTATTCATAACAAGCCCCTTTCCGCTAAATCTGAATTTATGCTAATGAGGTGACATTTGAAAGCCCCTCAGTGTGGGGATTGGTTGCTAGCAGAAACAATTTTGTTATCAGAGGCTTGACCTCAGGGGAAGGGAGGGCCTGGAGGTTGACTCAATTACCAGTGGCTGTTTTAATCAACTATGTCTCTGTAATACTGAAGCTTCCATAAAAGCCCAGTGGGGTTCTGAAACCTTCTGGGTTGGTGAACACTGGGATGCGCTGGGAGAGTGGCACCCAGAGAGGGCATGAAAACTCCACTACCCCTCTCCACATACCTTGCTCTATGCATCTCTTCTATCTGGCTGTTCTTGAGTGGTATCCTTTTATGATAAACCAGTAATCCTGTAAGTAAAGTATTTGTCTGAGTTACATGAGCCACTCTAGCAAATTAATCGACCTGAGGAGAGAGTCATGGGAACCTCCAATTTATACCTGTCAGTCAAAAGCACGGGTAACAATTTGGACTTGAGATTGACATTTGGATTGGGTGTGTGTGGGCGGCCCCCCCCCGGACAGTCTTGTGGATTGAGCCCTCAACCTGGGGGATTGGATGATATCTCTAGGCAGAAAATACCCTACCCAATGACACACACATTTGGTGACCAGAGCAGAAATGAAAAAGGCCAAGGGCTCTTTTAGCCCTGGAAAAAATATGTTAATGAAGCATCTCTTCATAATTACATTTATCTTCCTAATTTTATTTTCTTTTTTTATTCAAAAATAGATTTTGCATTTTCTCACATCCTTTATGGCAACTCTTGAGATGATTCTACGGTTTTGCTTTTTTGACTTTTTTCTTCTTTTTATCCTCTTTTACACATTTTGCCCACTCCCACCTCGCACCTCTGGCTACCAGCAATCTAATTAATCTGTTTTCTGTATCTATGAACTCATTGTGTTTTTGATTCCACATATAAGTGAGATCATAACAGTATTTGTCTTTTTCTTGTCTGCCTTATTTCACTTAGCATAATGCCTTCGAAATTCATCCATGTTGTTGCATACATATAGAGATATAGATATAGATATATAGATGATATATAGATCATGTAGATATAGATATAGATGTAAATATAAATAGATATAGATATAAATTGCTCCTTGGTGAGTCACAGATTATAAACTATACCAGGTAAATTGTTGGACAAAGGATACTTTATTTGCAGCAAATAAGGAGATCACAGGGAATAACTTCCAAAGCCGTGACTCTCGAGCCAAGGGTAAATGGGTTCCTTTTATTTAGGGTTGGGATGAACATTTAGATAGGGAAGCCTTGTCATGGAATGTAAAGGGGAACATAAGGCAGTGCATGCAACTTAAGGAAACGTGCCTATATCACACATTGTGTTATGTAAATGAGGCTTGTGCTCATCCTTGAGCAGAAGTTTCAGTATTATAGTGAGGTAAAGGAAGTTGTCAGTCATTCTGCAGGTCACTCCATGGTCCATCTGTGCAGGCGCCAGTCCAGGGTTATGGTCATATTGGTCTGGATGGCCTGGGTTGGCAGGAGGTCTTGTCAGGGTGGTCACTATCACTTGAGGGGTGCTTTTGGTTTCCATCAGCCTGAGTTAAAAGATGAGCTGGATAGAAGAGCTTAAGGAAAAATGTGGGACAAAGGTCAGTGAGTATAAGCAGGTGGGCAGTAAAGGTCAGGTGTTGGGTTCTAGCTGGTCACACAGTGAACATGAGGGTGCATATATCTATGAATTAGTATTCTCATTTTCTTAAGATAAATGCTCAGATGTGAAATTGCTGGATATGGTAGTCTATTTTTAATTTTTAGGAAACTCCATTGTATTTTCCACAGTGACTGCTCCAATTTACATTCCCACCAAAAGTGCACAAGCGTTCCCATTTCTCCACATCTTCACCAACACTTGTTATTTCTTGTCTTTTTTTAAAACAGGTATGAGGTGATATCTCATGGTGGTTTTGATTTGCATTTCCCACTCACCACTATCAAAATGGCTAAAATCAAAAACACAAGAAACTACAAGAGTTCGTGAGGAAGTAGAGAAAAAACAACGGTGCCTGTACTGTTGGTGGGAATACAAAGTGGTACAGCTACTATAGAAAAGAGTATGGGGGCACCTGGGTGGTTCAGTTAGTTAAGCATCCAACTGTTGATCTCAGCTCAGGTCTTGATCTCAGGGTCATGAGTTCAAGCCACATATTGGGCTGTGCACTGGGCATGATACCTACTTAAAAAAAAAAAAAGAGTATGGAGGTTCCTCAAAAAATTAATAATAGACTTACCATATGATGCAGTAATTCCACTGCTGGATATTTATCCAAGGAATTTGGAAACACTAATTCAAAGCAACACAAGTGTCCATCGATAGAGGAACAGATAAAGAAGATGTGGTGTATATATGCAATGGAATGTTACTCAGCCATAAAAAAGAATGAAATCTTGCAATTTGCAACAATAGGGCTAGATCTAGAGAGTATATGCTATGAAATAAGTCAATCAGAGAAAGACAAATATCATATGATTTCACTCGTATGGGAAATTTAAGAAACAAAGAAAAAAAAGAGAAAACCAAAAAACACATTCTTAATAATAGAGAACAAACAAATAGATGGTTACCAGAGGGGAGGTGAGTGGAGATGGGTGAAATAGGTGGAGGGGATTAAGTGCACACTTACCCTGGGGCGCCTGGCTGGCTCAGCTGGAAGAACATGTGACTCCTGATCTGGGGTTGGTGAGTTTGAGCCCCACATTGGGCGTAGAGATTACTAAGAAAAAAACAAATAGACTTAAAAACAGAAAAAAGAGCATACCTCTCTTGATGAGCACTGAGTAATGTATAGAATTGTTGAATCACTGTATTGTACACCTGAAACTAATGTAACAGGACTTGCTAACTCTACTGGATTTATTTTTTTTTAAATTTTTTTTTCAACGTTTTTATTTATTTTTGGGACAGAGAGAGACAGAGCATGAATGGGGGAGGGGCAGAGAGAGAGGGAGACACAGAATCGGAAACAGGCTCCAGGCTCCGAGCCATCAGCCCAGAGCCCGACGCGGGGCTCGAACTCACGGACCGCGAGATTGTGACCTGGCTGAAGTCGGACGCTTAACCGACTGCGCCACCCAGGCGCCCCTAACTCTACTGGATTTAAAAAAGAAAAAAGATCAGTGTTTGCCAGGGGTTTAGAAGAAGGGAATGATGAATAGGTAGAGCACAGAGGATTTTTTATTTTATTTTAAAAAAAATTTTTTTTTTTCAACGTTTATTTATTTTTGGGACAGAGAGAGACAGCATGAACGGGCGAGGGGCAGAGAGAGAGGGAGACACAGAATTGGAAACAGGCTCCAGGCTCTGAGCCATCAGCCCAGAGCCCGACGAGGGGCTCGAACTCAGGACCGCGAGATCGTGACCTGGCTGAAGTCGGATGCTTAACCGACTGCGCCACCCAGGCGCCCCAGAGCATAGAGGATTTTTAGGGCTGTGAAAATACCACGTGTGATACAATAATGATGTGGGTTTTTCATATAAGACTTTTATTATGTTAAAGTATGTTCCCTCTAGATCTACTTTGTTGGTTTTTTTTTTTTTTATCATGAATGGATGTTGTACTTTGTCAATGGTTTTTCTGCATCTATTGAAATAATCATAGGGGCTCCTGGGTGGCTCAGTTGGTTAAGTGTCCAACGCTTGATTTTGGCTCAGGTCATGATCTCATGGTCCATGAGACTGAACCCCACATTGGGCTCTGCACTGACAGCGCAGATCCTGCTTGGGATTCTTTCTCTCCTTCTCTCTCTGCCCCTCCCCTGCTCTCTCTCTTTCTCAAAATAAAAGTAAGTATTAAAAAAAAGAAATAATGTTTTTTTATCCTTTCTTTTATTGATGTGATGTGTCACGTTCATTGATTTGTAAATATTGAAGCACCCTTGCATCCCAGGATAAATCCTGCTTGATTCTGGTGAATGATTTTTTTTTTAACTATTCTTTTGGATTCAGTTTGCTAATATTTTGTTGAGGATTTTTTGCATTGCATTGTGTTCATCAAGGATATTGGCCTGTAGCTCTTTTTTTTTTGTTGTTTTCTTTTTGTGGTGGCTTGCCACTTAATTTTTAAGAGCTCTTTTAATATCCCTTTAATATATTAGCAATATTAGCCATTTGTCTGTCATATATGTTGCAAATATTTTCTCCTGGTTTGTCAATTGTCTTTTGATTTTTTGTGATGGCTTTTGGCCACGAAAAATGTTTTATTTTTATGCATTCAAATTTATCAATTTTTTTTTTTTATTATTCTGGATTTCGAGTTATAGTTAGACTTCCCCTACACTGAGGCTAAAGAGGAAGTCATTCATGTTGTTTGCTAGTTTCAGTTTGCATAGTTTCAGTTTTTACATTTAGGTGGGATCAGGCACATTCAAGGGTATTATGACCATAGACTCAGTTTTTATATTTAGATTTCTAATCCAGTTGGAATTTATTTTTATGTAGTGTTAGGTATGGTTCCACTCTTATCTTTTTCCAAATGGTTACCCAGTTGTTACAGCACTATTTTTTAAAAAGTCCATTTTTGCCCCAGTGGCTTGAGATGCCCCTTTACCAATATGCTAAGTTTCCAAATGTGCCTGGGTCTATTTTGGGGCATTCTATTCTGTTCTACTCTACTCTACTCTATTCTACTGGTCTGTTTGTCTACTCATGCACCGATGTAACAGTTTTATTACAGAGGCTTTATAGTATATTTTCTTGTCTTATAAGGCTAGGCCTGCTCAGGTTTTCCTTTTCATTGTTGCCAAAATATTTTTGCATGTTTGCTGAAAATGCATAACCTGAATTAATCATGAGGAAACTTAGGAGAATTTTATAAAAGAATTGGCTAGCATTCTTCAAAACAATATTAAGGTCATAAACAAAAAAGAAAGATGAAGGAATAAGGAGACATAATAAATGTACTATGTGGTTCCAGGTAGATAAAAGGACATGGGACAAAGATGAGGTTTAAATGAAGTCTATAGATTAAGTAATAATAATGCATCAATGTTAATTTACTGGCTGATTGTACTGTGTTTATGTAGGTTATGAACATCTGGGGGGCACCCTGGGTGGCTCAGTCCATTGAGGGTCTGACTTCAGCTCAGGTCTGATCTCACGGTTTGTGGGCTTGAGCCCTCCATCGGGCTCTGTGCTGACAGTGCAGAGCCCGCTTCAAATCCTCTGTCTCCCTCTCTCTCTGCCCCTCCCCCATGCATGCATGTTTGTGTGCATTTTCTCTTTCACTCTCAAACATTGGGGCACCTGGGTGGCTCAGTCGGTTAAGTGTCCGACTTCGGTTCAGGTCGTGATCTCATGGTCCATGAGTTCGAGTACCACGTCGGGCTCTGTACTGACAGCTCAGAGCCTGGACCCTGCTTCAGATTGTGTCTCCCTCTCTCTCTGCCCCTCCCCTGCTCGCATGCAGTCTCTCTCTCTCTCTCTCTGTCAAAAATGAATAAACATTAAAAAGAGACCATTTGGGGAAACTGGGTAAAGGATATGTGGGAATTTTGATAATCTTTTTATAAACCCGAAATGATTTCAAATTAAAAAATGAAAACATTAAGGGCACCTGGGTGGCTCAGTTGGTTAAGCGTCCGACTTTGGCTCAGGTCATGATTTCATGGTTCTTGGGTTTGAGGCCTGAATTGGCCTCTGTGCTAAAAGCTCAGAGCCTGGAGCTTACTTCCGATTCCGTGTCTCCCTTTTTCTCTGCCTCTCCCCTGCTGGCTCTCTATCTGTCTCTCAAAAATAAAGAAATATTGAAAAAAGTGAAAACATTAAAAGGTGAAAAAATTTAATTGTAATTAATATTTATTATATTTTATTTATTATAATTTACTTATAAAGTTTTATTATAATTTCTATTATATTTTACTTATTATAAGTAAATTTATTTATTATAATTTATTTATAAAATATTTTAACATATATAATCAACCTCTTGGCCAAATATAGGAGTTGCAGACTTGCAACAATGGGTGAGTAGAACTATTTCCTAGTAGTGTTGCTTTCCTTAAACTGTCAATGCAGGAACTGGACTCCCAGGATTACAATTCTCCTTGATAAGACTCGCCAACCACTTCCGGGAATAATGTTGGCATTATTCGAGGGTGCAGGTGAGATGCCTGCCTTCTGATGTATTTGGGCAGGTAGCTGAGCCAAGGGGAGGTTGAATAAACATGTAGAAGGGTTAAGGTCCTATAGTACCAAAACTCTCAAGGACTTGCAGCAGATTGAAAATTCCAACTCTTGAAAAGAGAGCTCAGTGATTAACAGAGGCGGGCAGAAGGGTTGTGCTAGAAATCCATTCCTGAGGGCCCTGAAAGTGCTGCTTGTTGACATATCGAGTCAGAGTATAGTATCAGCAAGCAAAGCTGCTTGATCTCCAGAACTCATCAGCCTCTGTCACTCTGTGTATGGGTCAGCTTTTCCACCCAGGTCAGAGAGCAGGGATCCCTTCGACAGAGGAGCATGTTGTCCATACTGTGGGGTGCCTGGTTTCTGGGTTTTCTGACTGGGAAGCATTTCTAGCCTCACCTCATGTGGAGCCTCTGAACTACCTATTCTTGGAGAAAATCTTCTCTCAGGCCCTTTAAATGACTCTTAGAAGAACCATGGCTTGCCACTAGTGGGACTTCTGTAGAAAACAAACAAACAAACAGGGTGGCCAGACTCTATTTTCAAGAAAGTCGAGTTAGAAAATCAATCCTTATATTACATATAGCATATTTGATGGTCAAACTCACACATGGATATTTTAACTTTGGGAGTATTTCAGTGTAACATCTGAGAGCTGTGCGTTATAAAAGCATACAATGTTCTTTTTTTTTTTTTTTTTGTCAGCTTTCTCAGCCTGTAATGCCCTAAAGTTGTAAAATTAATCACACTGAACAAAGAAAATTTTACAAATTGTTTAATACCTTTGACTTGAATCCTACCTTTACTGAAAAGGCAAGCAGCTAGTGGTTTACATTATTATGTGTACCTTAAACTAAGCTAGAAGTTATTATAAAATGGAAGATTTTTGTGATGTTCAGTATTTCAAAAATACTTCAGGTAAAGAATAATTACAAGTACATTTTAAGAGTTGTAAACTCACTTTGCAGGCAGTAGTTTGTTGAGCTAAACTAAGGGTTTTGCCAGAAAGGAAGAACAATGTCATAAGTAATTTTGTGTCTCATTAAAAAGAATTTGGTGAGAGAAGGGCGATTGGCAAAACCTACCTCGGAGGTAAGAAATCTAACCTTAACAGTGGTAGAGCTTGACACTGTTGGGACACAGTTGGACACATTTGCTGTTCACGCTTCATTTACTAGTGCAAAATGGTAACAGTAGTAGTAATTTTGAGAGTTCCAATTTGGCCAAACTATTAGATATATAATTCATAAAATACTAAAATAGTACTTAAAAAGTAATCATAACTACCATTTCTTTAAAAAGAGCATATAACTGACAGTTAGTAGATTTATTGGGTCAGATCTATATTATTGGATTCTTAGGCTTGTGGGTTCTTATAAAACAAAACTCATAAGCCCTCTAGAGCAATCAGAACTACAGAGAGCTAGCAGTACATGCAAAGGGACTGGGGGTTTGGCTAGAGATGGTTGGTTACAATCCCAAACTCTAATACTATAGTCACACCATTTATACCACTCAATTACTTAGAAAACCAGCTGGATTTGAACACTTTTTAAAAAATGTTTATTTATTTTTGAGAGAGAGACAGAGAGAGAGAGAGAGCAGGGTAGGGGCAGAGAGAGAGAGGGAGACACAGAATCCGAAGCAGGCTCCAGGCTCTAAGCTGTCAGTACAGAGCCTGACCTGGGGCTCAAACTCACGTTCATGGGATCGAGCCCCACATTGGGCTCTGTGCTGACAGCTTAGAGCCTGGAGCCTGCTTCGGATTCTGTGTCTCCCTCTCTCTCTCTGCCCCTACCCTGCTCTCTCTCTCTCTCTCTCAAAAATAAAAACATTAAAAAAAATTAAATAAAATGCTGGATATGTCAGTGGCTTTTCTCATTAAATCCTCTAATATTAATGAACAATGAAATATCCATTAAACTAATAGGAAATAAGATATACTGGATTATGTAATGCTGAGAAGTTTATGTCTTCAACAAAATTGTTATACCTTTCCCTGACTTTAAGCAATATCCACACTATAGTCATTAACTGAAAAATAAAGAGTATGCCATTATTTCCACTATGTGAAAAATAAAATCTTGTAAATCATAAAAAAAAACCCAACTCATATTACAACTACTTAAAATATTGTAAACTTATCAAAATGCACAGGAAAAAAGTCTTTTGTTTTTAAGTAGGCTCCACACCCAACATGGGGCTTTAACCCATGACCCCTTAGATCAAGAGTTTCATGCTTTACAGACTGAGCCAGCCAGGTGCCCAGAAACAATTTTTAATATACTGTACAATGGGTAGATTCATCTGAATTCTCAGGCATGGGTATGGCAGAGCAAGAGCTCTCTAATATGAAGATTCAATAAAAAGCATGACTTAAAAACATTTGAAAAGGTCTTTGGGAGAAGTACCAGTAAAGAGAGCAGTATTGAACACACAGGAAGTGGAGTTCAAGATAGCATTATCCAAGGGGAGGCTGGAAAGCTTCCATCAAGAACACAGTGGCCACTAATCTCGGGCAAGAGCAAGGACAGTGTTTCCAGAGACTGAAAGAAAGGGAGCATGTAGCCGGTTGTTTTTGTTTTCCTAGCATCTCTTCTCCCTGCTTTTGGTTAACAGTACCAATTTCAGTCCCCCTTAGAGGTGGAAGGAATGGGGGTATGACCTAAGGGGAGCCAATCAGATTTTATTTATCTTAGGAATTTGGAAGTTCAGAAGAGAAACACAAGAAGGGAAATGATTGGGGCTGTCATTCTGATGGCAGTGGCTAAAAGGGGACTCCTGATTTCCTCTGGTTTATGCCCTTCCTAAGACCTGCTTGCTTAGCTTTTCCTTAACTGTGAATTCTGCAGGTTTTTTCTACAAATTCTATTTTGTTGGTGTTTGCCAGTTGAATTCTGTTGTGGGCAAATAAAGAACTGTATGAGATACAGGTGTGTACACATTGAAACATCTTAAGTATGAGGTAAGAAGTCTATTCTCTCTTGCAGAGGCAAGTGGGGTAGATAATTTGAAAAACGTGATGAGGGGCGCCTGGGTGGCTCAGTCGGTTAAGCGTCCGACTTCGGTTCAGGTCATGATCTTGCGGTCCGTGAGTTCGAGCCCTGCGTCAGGCTCTGTGCTGACAGCTCAGAGCCTGGAGCCTGTTTCAGATTCTGTGTCTCCCTCTCTCTCGGACCCTCCCCTGTTCATGCTCTCGCTCGGTCTCAAAAATAAATAAACGTTAAAAAAAAAATTAAAAAAAAAAGAAAAACGTAATGAAATTATGGAAGGGAGCTATCAAGTATAAGTATAAAGATCAAAGATAAGCAAAAGGACTGCTAATCAGTGTTGAGAGTTCAGCCAAATTTGCAGAATATGAATTTGTAGTGATTCCATTCACGAACCTAGGTGCAGGAAAGGAGAAAGGACATCATTGCACTGATTTGTAGTTAGGAGCTAGCAGAACTATGTGTCAGAACCTTGACATACAGATATTAAAGGGCTTTCAAGGGAAGTTGAAGGCTACTATCACGGGCTGTACGCAGAACAGGCAAGGAAATAAAGCTAAGAGGGTGGAATTGGGGGACAAAAGGAGAACTGAGGGATGGGTTTGGGTTAGTTGAGAACAGACGAGGAAGTAAAGGCTGCTTTATTGCAGTCCAGATTTAGAAGAAAATCAGGTGATAAGGTTCAGGGTGTAGGCAAGCAAGGTGCTTAGAGAATCGGGATATTGATTGAGATTACTGAGGCACATCGAAGCTAGGGCTCCTGAAGTTGCCCATGATGATGTCAGACGAGATGCCAAGTGCAGTAACCAGTTCACCTAAATTTTACCAACCAAACTCAAGAGGTTTTTGTTTTGCTTTTTTTTTTTTTTTATGAATGTGAGGGAACAGCTAGAGGTTGATAGATGGTCACTTAAAAATAAAGTTCTTTTGGGGTGCCTGGGTGGTTCAGTCGGTTGTTTCTGACTTCCACTCAGGTCATAATCTCATGGTTCATGGGTTTGAGTCCTGTGTTGGGTTCTCTGCTGTCAGCACAGAGCCTGCTTTGGATCCTCTGTTCTCTCTTTGCCCCTCCCCTGCTCATGCTCACTCTCTCTCTCTCCAAAATAAATACACATTAAAAAAAAAAGTTCCTTTAAAAGAACTAAGACTAGCTACAGGGTAACAGTGGCTAACTATGTAGGTTCCCAGCTTGCTTCTTTACTGGCTAATTCTGAAGAAGTTATTTATCTTCCGATGCCTCAGTTTCTTCAACTATAACATAAAGATAATAGTACTTGGGATGCCTGGGTGGCTCAGTCGGTTAAGCCTCTGACTTCAGCTTAGGTCATGATCTTGCAGTTCGAGAGTTTGAGCAGTGCATCAGGCTCTCTGCTGCCAGTGCAGAGTCTGCTCCAGATCCTCTGTTTCCCTCTCTCCGTCCCTCCTCTACTCGTGCTTTGTGTGTGTGTCTCTCAGAAATGAGTAAACATTTAAAAAAAGAGACAATAGTACTACTTCCTGGGTCACTGAGATAATTAAATAAATTAACATGCATCAAATGGTAAATACTGAGCACTTCATAAGTGTTAGCTATTATTATTAAAGGGAGACAGATCCAAATACACTATAACACAATGTAATATTTTATGATATTTGTACAAACAGAAAATAACTGACAGGGGCATTAACAACTATACTTGGGATACTCAGGGAAGTTTTCACTGAGGTGTTAGAGGCAAAAACAAAAGAAAGCGGTAAGATCTGTTTAAGGCTCGCCCTAAGGCAGACATTGTGATAGCTGTTTTAAGAATATCATCACATTTAATACCATGTCCCTGCAAGATATGTATCTTCCTTTTACTGAGGAGGAAAGCTAACGGAGGTTAAATAACTTACTTACCCTTGGGTACAAAGGAATGAAAAGAAACTGGAATCTTTACTTAGATAATTTAGTTAGTTGGTCTGGCACAAGCGGGACACTGCAGAAGGAATTTAAAGGATGCGTGGAAATAGACTAGCAGGATCACTGAGCGGTAGTGGGGAACTGGGAAGGTTGAAGATACAGTCGCAGCAGGGATCAGATTATAAAAGGTATTTGCTTGTCTTATGAGATGTCTGAGCTTGAATCTGTGGGTAATGTCCAGGGAGTAAAGGATATTATGCAGGCCCTAGGCAGTGAGTTGACACCAAGCAGGTCAGCGGGCATGGTGATGGCCAGACTGGCCAGTCATTCTCCACTTAATGAGCGCCTGTGCGCCAACCTCACGAAGGGTAGCGGAGATGCAACAAGGAGAAGACGCAGCCGGGGGTAGCTTTCGCTCCGCTCACCTCGCGCGGAGGCAGAAGCCCCCAGGCGGGTTGTTCACAGGTTTCTTTCGGGCTCCCCTCCTGAGCCGAGCCGGGCCGGCAGCGTGCTCCTCAGCGGCCGTCTGCGCTCGCCGGGTCAAGAGCAACCTGGCCGAACGCTTCCCTTCAGCACCCCGTGGCGTCGGCAACCTCCCTGCTCCCAGCTTCCACGCGAACTCAGCAGCAGGCCTACTAACTCAAGCCCGTAGTCTGCACGCCCTTCTTCCTTCCGGCGGCACCACACATCCTGTCACGTGTGGGGCGGGTCACATGAGAGTTGGTCACGTGCCGGGGCCGCAGGGCTCGGGGCTCGGGGCTCGGGGTTTGGTTTCCGCAGACCTGCGGACCTCAGCGGGTGCGATCGTGGCTGCCCCGGAGGCCGCGGAGCTGCACGACTGGGATGGTGAGGGCGGCGGGCCAGGGTCGGAACGGGGTCGGGCCGGGGCTGGTGCCTTCCCCAACCTCAGCCCGTCTTCTCATTCTTCCCGCTGCAGATGAACCGGACGACCCCCGACCAGGAGCGGGCGCCGGCGTCCGAGCCCGTGTGGGAGCGGCCCTGGTCGGTGGAGGAGATCCGCAGGAGCAGCCAGAGCTGGTCGCTGGCGGCCGATGCGGGCGTGAGAGGCGGGCCCCAGGGAGGGGAGCGGAGGGCGGGCCGCCTGGGGTGACCCCGAGGCTTGCGAGCGGGAGGACAGGAGACCCCGATTCCTTCGCCACTCGGTGTATTCTGCTGCCCCTGTTCATGCGTTCATAAGGCATCCCTCCCCAAAAACGCCACTGTGGCAGTCCCTAGGCACCTGGGCGGGGGCGGGCCCATCGTCCTTAGCCGAGTTCCCCCACTCCGACTGCAGCCCAGACGCAGGTCTCTTCCTTGTTTGGGTTTTTTAGCGCTGCTCGCATCTCCATCCTGATGGAGGCAGATAGGTTATCTCTGCGCCGCGGGTTTGCTAGGGCACTAGTGAGGCCATTTCACTTTGGGACCTGGACTGTGTGGGGAGGTAGACAAGCCTGTATATGGATATCCTCGAGTGGGACTTTAAAGGCCGGGGACCCAAGACTCCCGAAACTGTGATTCCAAAGTCCCATATGAACACGATTTTTTTCTTTTTATAAGAGTGGTAGTTTGTTATTTTGCCCTTGATCTGGGATTTCTGTAGAATGATAACCAAACAAGACTTTAAAATTCGTCCAGAAGCGAGATAGCAAGTGTCAGTGTACTCCTTGCCACTGTTTGGATGAGCTTTGTTAATGTTTTTCAGTGGTACTTGGTTTTGGGTGTTGTCGAAAGCAGCATCTCTTACATTCTAACACACAAAGGTGAAAGGAAATGGGTTCTTTTTTGTTTTGACACACGGAGTAGACTCATATGATATTGATACTACTGTATGTTTATTTTTTAAATAGCTACTACAGTTTCTACAGGAATTCTCACAGCAGACTATCTCTAGGACCCATGAAATCAAGAAACAAGTGGATGGGTTAATCCGGGAAACTAAAGCCACAGATTGTCGCCTACATAATGTCTTCAATGACTTCCTTATGCTGTCTAATACCCAGTTCATTGAAAACGTGAGTTACTTAGTTGTGTCAGACTTATAAATAGTGTTTTCTGGAGGAACAAGCATCCCTTGGGGTATTAAATGATGTATTATTAGGTACCCTCCTCAATTTTCATGAACACAGGGGTTCTTGGTAATTGAAGCTTCTTTCTCTAGGATTAATGCCTTTTTAAATTAGTACAGTTTGTTTTTTCAGGCCTTTAAAAAAATCTAATGATAAAGTTATCTTACATTCTAGTTTTTCGTACCCTTTTAGTTTTGAGGATAGTCAGCACTTGTGCTGGTGTTCCCCCAAGCCTTATTGTGGCCATGTCCCTTAAGGAGAGCTGTGCACCTGCCTGGTCTGATCCTGGTCTGACCAGCATGTGACTACACTATTGATTGTGTCCATTATGTTATGATGAATTCTGTTAAAGGCATATGTGTGCCTACTTGAAATATTCTTTTTTGTTTTGGATTTTTTTAATGTTTATTTTTGAGAGAGAGCCAGCGAGAGAGAGAGAGAGAGAGAGAGAGAGAGAGAGAGAGAGAGAATGAGAATGAGAATGAGAATGAGTGGGGGAGGAGCAGAGAGAGAAGGAGACAATCCCAAGCAGGCTCCAGGCACTGGGGTGTCAGCACAGAGCCCAATACACTGGAACTCGTGAACTGCGAGATAATGACCTGAGCTGAAGTTGGACGCTTAACTGACTGAGCCACCCAGGTGCCCCTGGAATATTCTTGATTAACGTTTTGCTATGATGGCTGAACCTGTGGTACAGAATCAACTCTAGAAAGATTACTGGGCTTTAAGCCATGTGTGATTTTCCCTATATGTATGATTTTATTTTATTTTATTTTATTGTATTGTATTGTATTGTATTCTATTCTATTCTATTCTATTCTATTTTTTTAAATAACTTTTTAAATTTACTTCCAGGTTAGTTAGCATATAGTGCAACAATGATTTCAGTAGTAGATTCCTTAATGCCCCTTACCCATTTATTCCATACCCCCTCCCACAACCCCTCCAGTAATCCTCTGTTCTCCATATGTGAGAGTCTCTTATGTTTTGTCCCCCTCCCTGTTTTTATATTATTTTTCTTTCCTTCCCTTATGTTCATCTGTTTTGTCTCTTAAAGTCCTCATTGAGTGAAGTCATACGATATTTGTCTTTCTCTGACTAATTTCGCTTAGCATAGTACCCTCTAATTCCATCCACATAGTTGCGAATGGCAGGATTTCATTCTTTTTGGTTGTCAAGTAATACTCCATTATATGTATATACACACCACATTTTCTTTATCCATTCATCCATCGATGAACATTTGGGCTCTCTCCATACTTTGGCTATTGTTGATAGTGCTGCTGTAAACATTGGGGTGCATGTGCCCCATCGAAATAGCGCACCTGTATCCCTTGGATAAATACCTAGTAGTGCAATTGCTGGGTCATAGGGTAGTTCTGTTTTTAATTTTTTGAGGAACCTCCATACTGTTTTCCAGAGTGGCTGCACCAGTATGCATTCCCACCAGCAGTGCAAAAGAGATCCTATTTCTCCGCATCCTCACCAACATCTGTTGTTGCCTGAGTTGTTAATGTTGGCCATTCTGACAGGTGTGAGGTGGTATCTCTTTGTGGTTTTGATTTGTAGTTCGCTGATAATGAGTGATATTGAGCTTTTTCATGTGTTGGTTGGCCATGTGGATGTCTTCTTTGGAGAAGTGTCCATTTATGTCTTTCACCCATTTCTTCACTGCACTGTTTGTTTTTTGGGTGTTGAGTTTGATAAATTCTTTATAGGTTTTAGATACTAGTCCTTTATCTGATATATTGTTTGCAAATATCTTCTCCCATTCTGTCGGTTGTCTTTTAGTTTTGCTGATTGTTTCCTTTGCTGTGCAGAAAATTTTTTATTTTGATGAGGTCCCAGTAGTTCATTTTTGTTTTTGTTTCCCTTGCCTCCAGAGACATGTTGAGTAAGAAGTTGTTGTGGTCAAGGTCAGAAAGGTTTTTGCCTGCTTTCTCCTGGAGGATTTTGATGGCTTCCTGTCTTACATTTAGGTCTTTCATCCATTTTGAGTTTATTTTTGTGTCTGGTGTAAGAAAGTGGTTCAGGTTCATTCTTCTGCATGTCGCTGTCCAGTTTTCCCAGCACCATTTGCTGAGGAGACTGTCTTTATTCCATTGGATAGTCTTTCCTGCTTTGTCAAAGACTAGTTGTCCATGTGTTTGTGGGTCCATTTCTGGGTTCTCTGTTGATCTGAGTGCCTGTTTTTGTGCTCTTCCCTATATATTTATCGACTTCCTAAGTACTAGATCCTAGGAATACATAGTTAAATTAGATAGAACCTCTCTTTATTATTTGTTTATCTAAATTTTATTTATTTTTGAGAGAGAGAGAGAGAGAGAATCCCAAGCAGGCTCCATGAACTGTGAGATCATGACCTGAGCTGAAATCAAGAGTAGGATGCTGAGCCACCCAGGCACCCGATAGAGCCTGTCTTTAGAGAAGATCACAATCCTCCATAATAGTGTAATTCCAGAATAGGAAGGAAGCAAGTGTGGCTAGAGCCTAGTGAGTGAGTGAAGGAGGGACTGTTAAGATGAGGATGGAGAGGAAGCTTAGTTAAACTGACCTATATTTCTCAGAGGGAGGTTAGTGTAACTTTCTGAGTGTCAGTCATAGATCATCTGTGGAAAAAGGATTATTAAGTAGGTTATTTCCTGAGATTGTTAGGGGTAAAGTGATAGAAAGGATTTTGAAAATTGCTAAATTGTAAAAGCTCTATTCAGGACTTTTAAGAGAAGACCAAATAGCATTACGCAAGTATGTTATGCAACACGGTTGTGCATTTTTTTAGTAGTTCAGGTTGAATTGCCGCTACTAGCGTTTTTGGGAGTCTGTAAAATAAGGATCTTAATGAAGGTATTAGAGATCTCTTTGCCAGTAAGTTTAAGATAGAGCCAGTATTTTAGTAAAATCTGTAGTCACTTTTTAGTCATCTATGTAGAATATCCGTGCTTGGTCCTGAGTGTCTTTTTCACTGGCAGAGGCGGTGTAGAGGTGTATATGCAGCCCATCGTCTTTCCATGAAGCCAAATTTGGTGTCCATTCTGGTATACTTGTTGCTCTCATTCTGTACTTTTCTTGCTGGATCAGGTGCTCATTTCTTCTCTGCGATCAGTGTTAGAGACCTAGAGGGGGCATGGAGTAGAATTGGGAAGGGTCTACGCAATGTGCCTATACCACATGGTATTGGATTAGCATCTGTTTGAATTTTGGGGGTTAGGCAGGTATCATAAACTGTGTTTTCTGAATCACAGTCTTCATGTCTTCCTTGTCTTTTGTTCAACTGTTCTTTTCTGGTGAAGTTTTTTTTTTTTTTTTTTTTTTTAATTTATTTATTTTGAGAGATGAGTGCAGAGAGAGAGGGAGGGGCAGAGAGAGAGGGAGAGAGGGAATCCAAAGCAGGCTGTACTCTGTCAGTGCAGAGCCTGATGTGGGGCTCAATCCCATGATCGTGACCTGAGCTGAAATCAAGAGTCAGATGCTTAACCTCCTGAGCCACCCAGGTGGCCCCTGGCCAAGTTATTTTAGATTTTGAGTTTTTCTTGATGTAGCGGAGGTTTTTTTGTGGGTTTTTGTTCTCCTGAAAAAAAAAATTTTTTTTTTTGTAGTAGTTCTTTATTTCTGTTCACTTTTTGGATTCCCTTTTTGCCACCCATCTTTACATTTCCCTAGTCCTCAAGCTTCTTCCCCTTCCATTCTGCAGCCAGAATTCCCCTCTCAATGTACCTGTTGCCACTGCCAAGTTTAACTGCTTCTCACACCTCCTGTAGTGCAATGTGTTACATGTTCTTCTCATTCGTGGCAGAACATGATGATGTTAAAAGTACAGCTAACGGTTAATCAAACTCTGAAAAAAATCTGCATGCTGTTAATACATTTGGCAGTGATTTGGCTTTTTATGTATTTTCTTCAAACCCTGACATTGGTACTCATGTATTACAATTCTGGTTTGAATGATGTTGCCATTTGGTTTCATCATAGTTTATTGGAAAGGTATTCAAAGGTAGCTTTCTGGGTTTTAGGAGTTAACCTCAAAAGCAGGTACTAGGTTGAAAAATGCATTACGGAGGTAGTGAAACTAAAGAGCAATCAGGGCTTTCTAGGGCAACAGAAATGAGTTCCTTTAGTAAAGGCTCAAGAGGGAATTATGAAGGAGGAAAAATACTAATTAACAGTGGCCAGTGCTTCAGTGTGTTATCAGAAGGGATTCATTAAGCTGTTAATTTAGGAATTTCATTCTAAAACATTGAGTGACCTAGAACAACTTTTTTTTTTTTAAAGGTTTATATTTTTAGTTATCTTTACACCCACTGTGTGGCTTGAATTCATGACCCAAAGGTAAAGAGTCTCATGTTCTACCGACTGAGGCAGCCAGGCACTTCAGATGTGACTTCTTTAGTATAGCACTTCTCATGATTATAATTTTACACTTATTGATGTGCTCTGATGTGTCAAACTATCCTACTAAATCAAGCCCCTCATTTTTTGTGAATGTTGTATTCCTTGGGGCCAGCACACTTCTTCTTTTTTTGTTGTAATTTTTATTTTTTAATGTTTTTTTTTTTGTTTTGTTTTTTTTTTTTTTGTTTTGTTTTTTGTGAGAGAGACCGAGCACGAATGGGAGAGAGGCAGAGAGAAAGGGAGACACAAAATCGGAAGCAGGCTCCAGGCTCTAAGCTGTCAGCACAGAGTCCAAAGTGGGGCTTAAACCCATGAACCGTGAGATCGTGACCTGAGCTGAAGTCGGACATTTAACCCCCTTAGCCACCCAGGCACTCCATGGGGCCAGCATACTTCTGATTTGTAGAAACCTAGTGAATATTTGAATGAATGAATGGGAGAACACATAAATGAAAAGGACTAGGGCTGTGTATAATTTGTTAAGAAATCGTCAGCCCCTGGTCCCTTTTCTCCAGTTCACCACCTCATCTCTTCCCCATCTCCCCAAATGAAGAAAAGATCCTTTGAGGGAAAATATTTGAGATGTTTAACAATTCTGGGAATGGCTACCTGATTTAAAAATGATCAAAAAACACATGAAGCTGTGAGATTAGCCTGGTCACAGTGAAGGAAGTTAGCGTGGATTGTCTGCTGTGTGCTGAGTACTTGAGATCCATAGTTCTAGTCACTCTTGGAAGATCCCATGGGTCTCGTGTGTTTGCTGGTTGGTTTCTTAGAGGTCATGTTTGGCCTCAGCCACAGGCTACTGATGTTTCATGAGGTAGTTTTTAATGAGAGCAGGAGAAAAAAAAGTAGGACTTTGGAGCTATTCAGTCATGAGTGTGAAGCTCAACCTTTTAGTTTAAATGGTCTCGCTATTTAAAACCTGAAGTGACTTTGGTAGGTGCCATGTCTGAAAGTCTCAATTTTAAGACCTATTTACTTTTTTGTCCCTGTCTTTGAAAATTAACCCCTCCAAATTTCTGCTCTTTATAGAATAGTTCTTTTTTAAAGTATTGAAAAAGAAGCAGCATCTGAAATTTCAGATGGTGGAGAAGTGCCTGCCAGCATACTGGCATATAAATTCTAAGTCCATTTCCCATGCAGACATTGGCCTGTAAGTTTTTTCTTTTTTTTCCAAGTTTATTTATTTGACGCCTGGGTGGCTCAGCCGGTTAAGCATCCAACTTCGGCTCAGGTCAAGATCTTGCAGTTTGTGGGTTCGAGCACCATATTGGGCTCTGTGCTGATAGCTCGGATCCTGGAGACTGCTTAAAATTCTGTTTCCCTCTCCCTCTCTCTGTCCCTCCCTGCTCACGCTATGTGTGTGTGTGTCTCTCTCTGTCTCTCAAAAATAAACATTAAAAAAAAAGTTGATGTATTTATTTTGAGAGAGAGAGAATGATTCGGGGAGAGGGAGAGACAGAGAGGGAGAGAGAGTGAATGAGAATCCCAAGCAGGCTCTTGATACAGGGCTGGATCCCATGAACTGCAAGATTGTGACTAGAGCTGAAATCAAGAGTTGGATGCTCAATCAACTGACCCGCCCAGGCGCCCCAAAGTTTTTTCTTTCTTGTTATAAAAGTAATAACACTTGTAGGAGAGATTGACATAGATAACAAATATTAAAGTGTGAGAAATTAAAACCACAAAAAGTCAACCATAATTCCACCTCTCCAAATTAAGCAACCATTAAACACTTTGACATATTTTTCTAGTGTTCTTTTTTTTTTTTAATTTTGTAACGTTTATTTATTATTAAGACACAGAGAGAGACAGAGCATGAGCATGGGAGGGGCAGAGAGAGGGGGAGACAGAATCTGAAGCAGGCTCCAGGTTCTGAGCTGTCAGCACAGAGCCCTACGCAGGGCTTGAACCCACAAACTGCAAGATCATGGCCTGAGCGGAAGTCGGATGCTTAACTGACTAAGCCACCCAGGCGCCCCTCTAGTCTTTTTTTTTTTTTTAATGTTTATTTTTGAGAGAGAGAGAGAGAGACAGCGCGTGAGCAGGGGAGGGCAGAGAGACACACATACACAGGATCCGAAACAGGTTCCAGGCTCAGCTGTCAGCAGAAAGCCCCATGCGGTACTTGAACACACAGAGTGGTGAGATCATGACCTGAGCCAAAGTTGGATTCTCAACTGACTGAGCCACCCAGGCACCCCTAGTTTTCTTTTTTTAACTTTAATCTTTCCTATATGTACATATTCGCAGACTGCATTTTTCTTAATGATAATTATTTAATAAGCATTTTAAGTCTTTTTGATAGAGATTTTTTAATATAAATTTTTTAATGAAAATTTTCACATCTAGAAAAGAACAGATAATAACCATAAATGCTAATAATATGCACCAGCCTGCATTAACAGACTTTTTTTTTTTTTAATTTTTTTTTTTTCAACGTTTATTTATTTTTGGGACAGGGAGAGCCAGAGCATGAATGGGGGAGGGGCAGAGAGAGAAGGAGACACAGAATCGGAAACAGGCTCCAGGCTCTGAGCCATCAGCCCAGAGCCCGACGCGGGGCTTGAACTCACGGACCGCGAGATTGTGACCTGGCTGAAGTCGGACGCTTAACCGACTGCGCCACCCAGGCTCCCCTAACAGACTTTTTTTAATGAGTTCTATTTTTTTTAATGTTTTTATTATTTATTTTTGAGAGAGAGGGAGACAGAGGATCCGAAGCAGTCTCAGTGCCGACAACAGAAAGCCCAACGTGGGGCTGGAACTCACGAATTGTGAGATCATGATCTGGGCTGAAGTTGGACGCTTAACCGACTGAGCCACCCAGGCATCTCTGCATTAGCAGACTTTAAGAATTTTCCGTTTGCTTCGAAGGCACCAACTCCTCATTTTTTTATCTTAGCTTTAAATACTTTAGGTGAGGGCCCCTTTGTACCTCTGTGTTTTTATTCTTACGTGGAGAGTGTAGATCTGCATGGATGTATATGAGTGCTTATATGTGAAGTATGGGATAGGAGTGTTACCTTGTTTTTTTTCCCCATATAGGTAAGCTTTATTGTATAGTTCTTTTCCTCACTTGCTTACATGTGTGAACGTATGTGTATCTATGTTTGTGTTTTTATGAATGTAAAATTAGACTTATGTGTAAATGCAGATCAGTTTCTTGCGTCTGTATTTTATTATGCTTATCTGCTGTGTGCCGGGATCACAATCTTAAATACTGCAGATTTCTAATAAGTCTTCTTAGAACACGTCCCCATGTCTTCTTTTTAACAGTTAAAAAGTAAAGGAAATCACAAGGAGGTACTGGAGCCCTAGCTCTGTTTTGAGCCAGCCAGGTGCCCTGCCATAGCTCTGTTTTGTAAAAGAGATGCCTGCCTGCCCGTGCTGTATGGGCGGAATGCCTGGCCTTCTGGCAAATCCTTAGTGGGCTCGGCCTGTCTGCTTTCATATAAGTGGGATAATAAGAGCTTATCAACCATTTGAAGCAACAGGATGGAAATAACTTTTACCGTTTCCATTGCTCAGATGTTAAAGTTCTTGTTATCTAGTAGGTAAGTTCTACCAGTTGACATTTTCTGTAGCCTCTCATTGAAGTATGTGTGTCATTGCCCTGTCAGCGTTAAGTGTTAGGTGAAGCCAAAAGGTATGAAAACTGGAGTCTTCATTGTTTTTGTGACTCTTTGGTCAACATGAGATGGAGCTTTTTTCATGTTTTCCAGTCATTTGTATGGCTTTAAATTTAATTTTTGGTGAATTAACTACTGTTCTTTGCTTGTTTGTCCTTAACCAATAGCCTCAGTCATTTGTTGGGTAATCCTTTCTTCTGTGTCTTTCTTTATTGTGTGTTGAATTCTTATATTACGATTCATTCCAAATGATATTTTGACCATTTAAAAATGAATTTGCTTCCCTATTTAGCGTGTATACGACGAAGAAGTGGAGGAGCCGATACTCAAGGCTGAGACAGAAAAAGCAGAACAGGTACTTGCATTAGATCCCTCTTAGTTGAGTTCTTGACTTAGGGAAGAAAAGTGGTGGAAATTTGTAATGTGGCCGGTGGGGGATTGTGGGCAGAAGGATGGTTCCTGGGGCAAATGAGAAAGGCTGCTCCTGACACCCCAGGAATGGAACTGTGGTTTGTTTCTGAAATGTAGTGTATTAAGAAACAGGTAAAGTTTTTGAAGTCTGGCATCAGAGCAGAGTGCAGGAGACTTTCTGTAAAAGGCCAGATAATGTTTTATGTTTGGCTGGCTACCTTGGTCTCTTGTCTTTTTCCCTTCTTTTTGCTCTTTTTCCTCCTTCTCCCTGCCTCTTCCTGCTCCACCCCCAAATGTGGGGGTTCTACACAATAGACCTTGAGGGTTCTACAACAATAGACCACAGACTGGGCTGTACGTTGTGAGTTCTTTGAAGACCATGCTTCCCTATTGTTTTATGACACCATTGACTCCTGCCAGTTGTAAATGACTGAGGTGAATGCTGGTTTAGTGCACAGCTTGCTGCAGGATGTGTTAGCCCAGAGAGCACAGAATGTGCAGTGAACATTTACTGACTCCAGAAAGATTGCAGGAAGCTGGTAACTTGAACACAGACTTGACCCTCAGGAAGTTATGGTCTCAGTTGGAGCAGTAGGACATAACATGTTGGAGCTGCTAACTGTTCTGGAAGATCAGATGAGAAGAGCTCAGTGGTATAAGCAAGGAGAACCTAAAAGGATAAGGTGTTAGCTCGGTGAAGAAGGAAAGGCCAGATTTTAAGGCCAAAATGGCCTTAAAAAAGAGAGAGAATGCCATGCACTAAGTTCAGAGTTGGGGGATGTGCCTGGTATTTTACAGACAATGATAGTGGAAGATACTGGTGGTCAGCAGGAGGAAGGAAAAGGAAGTGAGTGGTGGGTTCATAAACCAGGCTAAGGAGTCGAGGGGCAGCAGTTTCTATCTTTTTATCTCTGTGACCTTCACATGTTTTGGATACATAAACATTCTTCCTGGGTGTTGTCACATCATGGGCCAAAGCATAGATAAGACCTTCTGGACTTTCTAGCCTTCTGGCAGAAGTTGCATTCTTTTCCTCCCCCTTAGAAAAGCACTGGAATGTAAGTTCATAATCGGAGTAGCCTTGACTCAGCTCTAAGAGAAAATATAAATCACTTGGAAAAGTTGGTACTTCATCAATAGCTATTATGTATGTGAAGCTGTTAGGATAGGATATTAGAAACCAGCTACAGGGAATCTGCCTATTCCCAGGTTAAAAAAAAAAAAAGTTACTTTGTTTTTAATGATTAACTCAAAAGATTTGCTGACCATTTAAAAGCAGTGGTTTGTGGTTACACCAAGTCAGGGTTCAGTTTGAAGTGATGAGTATTTAGTGAACTATTTTTAAAAAGCCCCTATGTAATTATTTCACAAACCTGTTTTCACACACTCAGTGCAGAATTAGCTATTTAACTAGAACCAAGCATACTACAGTGGAAAAAAGATGCAGCCAGAACAAAAAAGCTGGATTAGAAGGATTTCCATCCTTGAGGTAAAAGTACAAAAAACTCATAGAGTTTTCCCTTTGTCCCTTACAACAGCACCGTATGGTTTGATTCCTTCTGTAATTATGTATCAATTTCTAGAATATTTGTGAAGAGGGGAAATGACACTAAATTCTTTTTTCAATATTTCTCACAACTGATGACACAGTTGGGTGTGTGAGGGGACTGTCACTGACAGCTGCTGTTGTAGGAAACGGAGGCCTGTGGAGTGTTTTCAGCAGGTTGGTGATATGTACAGACTTTTGGTGGGGGCATTGTTCTCGGATGGTGTACAGGATAAGTTGGAAATGATACTGACCCTCTGTTGGTCTGAAACACATTTATAAATAGCCATAACTACTAGTTTTTTGGTTTTTTATTTTCACCAATTGAAAGATGACATCTCTGGCTGGAGTCCCTTTCTTCTAAGTTTTAACTTCTGAAATTGTCCCAAGGCCCATTAACCAAGGTTAGTGGGATCCAGTCATGGTGAACCTGAAAGTTTGGGCCCTTTGTTCCTCCAGTGGTAGGGGAGTCGGGTGCCACTGGAGGGCTTGTGACATCCCATTCACAGGGGATGTTTACATAGGTTACCTAACCGAACTGTCATACATAGTGTAGTAGTGCTTTTGTTGCTATAGATGGTGAACGGGGAGTTCTGGGACCTTCGGTAGTGTGATCCATGTCCAGAAAGTGACAAACTTGGGATTTAAAACTTACTCCAAAGTCTGTCAAGGCATTCAGCAGAGTCTGACTTGTTAACATTTGTAATTGATTTTTTTTTGTTTTATTAGGGCGGTATCAATAGTTTGAAGATCTGTACTGAACAGTATTTTTTTGTAGGAGAAGACCCGGGAACAGAAAGAAGTAGATCTGATTCCTAAGGTTCAGGAGGCTGTGAACTATGGTTTACAAGTATTGGACAGCGCATTTGAACAACTAGATATAAAAGCAGGAAACTCAGACTCAGAAGAAGATGATGCTAATGAACGGGTGGAACTGATCCTCGAACCAAAGGTAAGGACGTTCAGTTCATGTTACTTGTTATTACACTTGTTGTGTTTGGGGCACTTTACTTGGGTACAGAATTAGTAAGACATGGGCTTGACTTTTAGGAAGTAAGTATGGTACTTAGCAGGCTCACATTGATTCCTTTAGAAACACTTGCTTTACCGGATCGTTGATGGAGCACCCAGCAGGTACAAGGCAGCACGCCAGGGTAGGGGAGTACAGAGGTGCAGGGCATGGCTCCTACTCTCCAGACGCCTATTATAGCATTACCAGTTGGTGGGAGAGAGGAGACATCTACATGAGTCACCGTCATAGGTGCTCTGGGAGAGAACTGCTTCTAGCTGGGGAAATGAGGGTACAGATGAGACCCGAATTGGGTTTGGAAGTATGAGGAGATTGTTGGGAACGTGAACTTCTGTAGCTTGTGCTGGGGAGACGGCACAAGTGCTGAAAGACATTTGTGTTGTTTGCGGGTTTTGGCTAGGATGAATAAAGCCGCTGTGAGCGTCCACGAATAGACTGTTAGCCGTGAATATAGTTACTGCTTTCCTGTTACTTTACCTCAGATCTGCAGAGGAGACTTTGGGGCAGCACAGCCAGGCAGAGGTAAACATAGAAGGTTGCCATATTGATTTTGAGAGAGAGTCCTTGTGACACACAAGTGCTTTATGGATTGGAACATGCCCCAGAGCCAAGATCTTCTGTCGTTCGTTTCACCTCACACTTCTCTTCCAGTTTGAGCCTGCGGTGTCGTACCGTGTTGGGGCTGTTCCTCTTGCACTGGTATACTTGCTGGCTTGCCTTTTCCTGTAGGGATTTAGCAGTCAGCAGTGGACCCTGGGTGGTGTATTGCCTGGGCCACGCTTGCTAGTTCCAGCTTGTACACCCCTTTCCCTTCTACTGGAGGACTTGGGAATGCCTCCTGAGTAAGTGGTTCGCCCAGTAGCACTTTCTTTTGTTTGCACTGAATTGGTTGCTGTTGCGTCTTTAACTTTTACATTAACCTTCCCAAATTCTCTCTTATGTTAAACTTCAGAATTGTTTTCTCCTGCACCCCCAGGGTCTTTTCAGTAGGGAAGAGAGATGATGGCCAAATGTCCTACCTTACAAAGGATAAGTCAGCCTTTCCTGTGGAGAGGGGAGGTTGTCCTAGGGTAGAGTGCTTGCTTGCTTGCTTGCTTGCTTTCTTACTTGCTTTTTTTTTTTTTTTATGTTTATTTATTTTTGAGAGAGAGACAGAGGGAGAGAGACAGAGATCGAGTTAGGGGAGGGGCAGAGAGAGAGGGAGACACAGAATCTGAAGCAGGCTCCAGCCTCCGAGCTGTCAGCACAGAGCCAGATGCAGGCCTGAACTCACGAATTGTGAGATCATGACCAGAGCCCAAGTCGGAAGCCTAACTGACTGAGCCACCCAGGCACCCCTGGAGTGCTTTCTTGAACTTAAATTTTAATGTAAGCATCTTGGGTGGGACTTGGAAGTTGAGGACTGGAATGGAAGGCTGTCCAACAGGTACTCTGTTCTACCCTGTCTCTTTTATTTCATTCTGTTGTTTTATAATCTGGTCTTAATTTTACCAACTTCACTTGTCTAAGTTATGCAGTGGGTGCAGCTGGGGGATATTATTATTCTCTTCTTTGGGTTATTTTTTCTCCCAGACAGGTTCTCAGTCTTTTTGATGTGTGCCTTTAGTTCATTGTGTTGACTATAGGTACTTGCATAGTTGCTATTCTATTTCTCCTCATCTAGCCCATGCTTTCTGTGCGCTGTTCCAGCCTTCTCTTGGCTCTGATGCGATGTAAAGGAGTCCCGCTGCTGGTCCACACCTGCTCCCACCCCCAAACCTGGACATACCCACCTGCCCCCCACAGTCCTGTAAAAGCATTTGGGTTATTTCCTCAGTGTGCTTCTTTCCAAATTTAGGACTAATATTGATGATTCTCAAGAGTGGTTAGTTGATTGGTTGATTTTTGCTCACGAGCGCTGCTTTTTAGGGGAGGAAGGCAGAGCTGGGATGCATCAAAGCTGGCCAGAACGTTCAGTTTCTTTCCTTCGTCCTCCTTTTGAACATGTTACTATGAAGTTGTAACCCTTATTTGGTTACTACTGGTAAACTTTTTGTGTGCCTCTGCCATTTTTAATGTAGCTAGGCACTTGAGAAGGGAGATTCTGTGTGATTTAGCTTTACTTTGCTGTTTTTACCTAAGATTTCACTTTTTAAAAAATCAGTTTTTTGGTTTTGTTTTTTTGTTTTTGGTTTTGTTTTGTTTTCTGTACTTTGAATCCTGCTGTGTTTCTTATTCTCCACTCTCATTATGTCACTTGTTTGGGGTAGTCACATGGAACAAGATGTCAAATGGAAAACTTAGTTTTTAGCCTGAAAATTTAATGGCTGTTACCTTTCATTGTTCACAGGATCTGTACATTGATCGTCCTTTACCTTATTTAATTGGGTCAAAGCTATTCATGGAGCAGGAAGATGTAGGTCTCGGAGAGCTGTCTAGTGAAGGTATTCTTTTGCACCAAATATTTTTGTTACCTTTAACATTTATATCTTACCTTTTTATTTTAAAATAATTTCAAACTTACTTGAACGTTGTCAGAATAGTACAAAGAACTCCTCTGTACACTTTACCCAGGTTTACCAGTTGTTAACATTCCATCACATTTGTTTGCTCTTTCTCTCTATATATACATAGTATTTTTTTTCTGAATCTACTTGAGAGAGATCGTGCGGACATCATGCCCTGGTACTCCAGAATATTTCTGTATAGAAAACACTTTCTGAAACTGACAATAGTCTCATGTATAGCCACAGTGTGTTATCAAAGTCAGGAAATTTTACTGGATGTAATACTATTAGCTAATCCTCAGTTGTATTTCAAATTTTGCCAGCTGTCCCAATTATGTCCTTTATAGGCTAGGCTCTTTTTTCCTCTGGCCCAGGCTCCAGTTCAGGATCGCTCACTGCATATAGTTGTCAAATCTCTGGTCTTCTTTTAGTCTAATATAATTTCTCAGCCTTTCTTTGCTTTTTACAGCTTTGACATTTTTGAAGAATACAGGCCAGTTTTTTCCTTTGGTCATTAACTTTTTTTATAATTCATAAGTATCTTGTGGGGAGATCTTTTAAGACTCTGTAGATGTTTTATCCCTCACTATAGTGAAGATACTTTTAATTACAGTTAATCTGTGTAGGTTCTTTTCTCAAAATCTTGGTGATGCTGATGTATGGTGGTTTATGATTTTAAGAAGGAACTAAGGATGTTTTATTATTAATATGGGTGATAACCCTTTATCTTTCTTCTAACCAGAGGGGTCAGTAGGCAGCGACCGTGGCAGCATTGCAGACAGTGAAGAGAATGAAGAAGAGGTAAGGGCTTCGTGGTGTTTCCAGGTCATGGTGGGCAAGAACCTTAGGATGTGTTTAGCAAGCTAAATAAATGTTTGTGAATTAGCAATCTCTTTGCACAGATTTTTTTAACAGTGATAGTAAAACCATATTCTGTGTTCCCCCCACCCCCTTTTTTTTGGGACTTTTGGGACTGAGTTTCCTTTTTGTCTTGTGTACAAAAGCAAGGAAAACTGCCTTAATCCCTTTTACTGTTCTCTCTCCTCCCTCCTCCCCACCAAGGCCTCTTCCTGCCAATATATTTTGAAGGGGGGCACCTTGGATATTTTGGTAGAATCTGCCTGGTTCTATCTTTGAGTAATTGTAGGGGAAAAGGCCATATTTTAAAATTTTTTTTTTTTTTTTTTTACTATAAAACCTAGACCAGAAGAATGCTTAAAGCATCCACTTACATTTTCACTTTGCTGCTAGTCCTAGCATCTTCATAGCCACAGAGCATGATCTGACTCCTGCTCTAGGACCTTGGCATCTGTGGACCTTGACCACTGTTGTATCTGGGGTTGTTTCTTTAGATGGAATATTTGTTACTGATGTTTGAAGAGCAGTTCTTGAGTGTTAATTCCTAAAAGGAGACAATATTGTATGCATGCTCCTTTCCTCTTATTTCTACATTCCCCCGCCCCCGCCCTCCTGCCACTGGCCCTGCAAACAAAACACTTCACAATGGGACATAAGGGTTTCCTAAAAAATCTGGCTATAAGTGATGGTCATTAGCTGAATTCCTGTGCTTTTAGCCATTGATGCAACTCTTCACCCAATTCCTGGTAGGAAACACTGATAGTCCCCTACTGGGCCTGGTGAAGTAATTCTGCTACGTGGAATATAGAGAGTGGAGAGTCCAAAATGTAAAATCACACAAACCAACTTTTGATAATTTAATTAATTAAATATGCCACTCTGACTTTAAATTCAGAGGTTAGCAATGGTAGCGCACATAGGTATGAGCAAATTGTTAGAGATGTTTAAATTAACTACAAAAGTTCCACGTTAGCTGGAACAGCTCTTGGTGATACTGCCTACTGTCCACCTTATCTGCGCCCTGATAGTTCAGGGGACCAGTAATCAGTACAAAGAGACCGAATATAGATGGGCCCTGGAGACTTAGGCCTGAGGTCATTTCTGTGCTTGTGACTAAATTCTGTATTAACAACACAGCTTTTTTTCCCCCTAAAGGAGTCAGATGAAGATTTTGCCACTCATAGTGACAATGACCAAAACCGGGTAAGGCTCATGAACTGAAGTGACTTTGCTTTTAAATTTTAACCGAAGCATAGCATATATACTAAATATATGCTAAAATTACTTTGGAGGAGAGCTGGGTTGGGGAACGGGTGAAAAAGGTGAAGGGGATTGCACTGAGTAATGTATAGAATTGTTGAATTACTTTATTGTACACCTGGAACTGATGTAACACTGTATGTTAATTATATTGGAACTAAAAAAAAATTAAAAAATAAAAAAAATTACTTTAGAATGACTTATGAGAAAGTAAGGATTAGTAAGCTAATTTTCTTTCAAAAATTTCATGTGTTTTTTTTAAATTTTTTCAATGTTTATTTTTGAGAGAGAGAGAGAGAGAGAGACAGAGAGAGCAACCGTGAGTAGGGGAGGGGGCAGAGAGAGAGGGAGACACAGAATCCAAAGCAGGCTCCAGGTTCTGAGCTGTCAGCACAGAGCCTGACGTGGGGCTTGAACTCATGAACTGTGAGATCATGACTTGAGCTGAAGTTGGATGCTTAACCAACTGAGCCACCCAGGTGCCCCAAGAATTTCATGTTTTTAAGTTAACTACTGTCTTGGGTTTTGTTTTGTTTTGTTTTTTCAATTTTGCTTTATACTTTATCTTCATTTTTCTTAGAAAACAAAGTGAAAAACAAAAATTGGGAAACAGAGCCTCTAAAAAGGAAGGCCCAGTTACTCAAACTGAACTATTTCACCTGAATCCTCTTCCTGTATTTTAAAATTTGGGATAATATAGCAGTAAGGTTAAGGAACACTCAAAAGATGAATATCTAATTGTACAGTTGTACCATAGCTGTCTTAATTTTTATATACCCTTCTAAGGACATATTTTTTTCACAATATGCATAGTTTATCTTCTGCAATTTTAATGTATCACAAGTGTTTTCTTACAATTTTAAGCTACCTTTATAATTTGCTTTGTGAACTCTGTGTTTTTAAGTGTACTGTTATGACAACAGTCTCTTTTTAGTTACAGACTCTTTTGTAGTCTCTAAATTTATATGGGAAATAGTTTATTTCTAGGATTTTATTTTTGAGATAGTAGTGCATTCATGAATGTATTTCCATATGCAGAAATCCTTTGCTTATGTGAACTGTTTCCTTAGGAATGAGATAGTGTAGAATTATAGTAAAGGCTCTTGATACTATTCTCATTACTGATCATGCATACTGATTTTCTCATAATCTTATCAGCCCTGGGGTTGTGATTTTTGCTAACATAATATACGTACAGTGGTATTTTGAGATAGTCCCAGTTTGCACTTCAGTTTCCTAATTGGGGCATATTTTTCCACAAACGTTTTCAACTACCAAATGAAGGATTTAGTCCTTTTTGGTTGGTAGTTGTATTTTCCATTCACAGAGGTGATTTAATAATCAGTCTTTAGAGAATATTTATTTCTATAAAACATACTAATATGGTTGATAAATTCAGACATTTATTTGCTTATTTTGAAAAAATTTTTAAAGATTTGATTTTGAAGTAATCTCTATACACAATGGGGGCTCGAACTCCCAACTCTGAGATGAAGAGTTGCATGTAAGCAACTAAGCCAGCCAGATGCCTGTAAATTCAGACCTTTAAATAATACAATATAGTGATTAAAAGTGTTGGCCTAACCATATATTTGTATTGTTAAAGATAGACTGGTTTTGTGTGCCACAGCTAACCTCAGGGTTCTGAAGATTAAAGTAGTCAATAAAGTACTTTCAGCATAGTGCCTGGCACAGTTTATTGATTTAAACATTAACAATTTTTTAAAAATGTTTTTTTAGTTGTACAAATTATGCATACCAGTGGCTGCTTTTATAAAAATTATAACTTAACAGGTAAAGCTTACTTTGAGCCCTCTAGTGCTCATTTTCTCACACTCTTCAGAGGTAATTGTTGTGATGGAAGAAAAGTGCTTTTCTTTGCTTTTAAATGTATCTGTGTCAGTAGAGAGGAGGTCCGTGTTGGGGTTGGGTGGGCAGGGTATCTTGCTGGGATTCTCATCTAGCACTTTTTACAGTTGATGCTGTGGACACCTCTCCAGTTGTTATAGCTTATTGCTTTTAATGATTAGTGTTCTTATCAAGATAAGACTATGTTTATTTAGGTTATTATTTCTCTAGTGGTGGACATTTTACATATTCAGTGTTCGTCATTCTGTGTACAGTATTTACGCTGAAAATAAATCTTGTATGTTACTTGCTTTAGTACATTTATTACTTTGACTTTTGCTGCATTACCATCATCATCCTTATTTGACAAGCTGTCACCATTTTGCCTTAAGGTTGAGTGACAGTATCTCTTTTTCAGCTTGATGACCTTATTTATCTGCTAGTTCTAATCTCATGGTTTGTCCTCCTAGCACACTGCACAAATGAGTGACGAAGAAGAGGACGATGATGGTTGTGACATTTTCGCTGACTCTGAGAAGGAGGAGGAAGATATTGAGGACACTGAAGAAAATACCAGACCTGTAAGAAAGACCATAGTCACTCTCTTGGCAGGGTTTTAGAAATGGCACTGAGGACTCATTACTTTTATTGTCATTTTTATTGATAACTGTTTCTTTTTGCATATTTGTAATTCCATTTACACTTTTGAAAATAATGGTTGAGTATTACTAGTTGCTGTACGAGTACCACTTTCTCTTCCAATTGTTACGATTTTATAAGTTAGATCATTCAAAAATCTATTTGATTCCAGGGTTTTAAGACCCTAATACTCCTTACCTTTTCCCCCCCTTATTCCTCATAGTAGTTTTCTGTCTCTCTCTTCTAGTAATAAAGTGAAGTATTGAAAAAAAAAAGGGGGGGGGGAGAGCGCCTGGGTGGCTCAGTCAGTTAAGCGTCTGACTTCAGCTCAGGTCATGATCTTACAGTCCATGAGTTTGAGCCCCGTGTCGGGCTCTGTGCTGACGGCTCAGAGCCTGGAGCCTGCTTCGGATTCTGTGTCCCTCTCTTTCTGACTCTCCCCCATTCATGCTCTGTCTTTCTCTGTCTCAAAAATAAATAAACACTAAAAAAAAAATTAAAAAATAAAAGGAACAAGGAGCATGTCTATGGAAAGAGTCCTGTTCCTCAAGTGATCTGTATAGGGTGCTCTATGTTTAAATTCATTTAGTTAAATTTTTAATCCGTTTAGTCCCTTTGCTTTTGTTTACATAATTTTGTTAGTTATTACAAGTAAACTGTACTAGTTTGTGTGTTACCAAAAACAGGTGATACTTTGGTCTTTTCTGTGTATAGAAAAAAAGTCGACCTACGTCATTTGCTGATGAGCTGGCGGCTCGAATCAAAGGGGAAGCTGCAAGCCAGGTGGAAGAGCAAAGTACGTCTTTGAGATGGGTTAACTTGGTGGGCGAGTGCAGGACCCTCTGCGGGGCTTCACTGAGAGCAGATTTCTCTGTTTAATTTTACTAAGGCATGAAAGGCTTACCTTTTTTTTGGTTTACAGACTCTTGGATAATTAAACATTGTGGACCCCTCCCCGCCCCCTGCAAGAAAAATGCATATGTATGCATCTGTATAACATTTTATTTGCAGTTTCAGGGGACTAATAGATAACCCGGGAGAATCACAGGCCCCAGATTAAGAATCTTTTGCTTAATATTTACTCCTATATTTTGACTAAATATAAATGTACCATATAAAGTAGTGATTTAACAGGATGGAAAGATATCAGAATAATTCGTTCAGCTTGAGTCCCTGCCGTGTAAGGTGCTGAATGAAGTACATGGACTCTAGGGGAGCTGAGACACAGAGTTGAATGTCTTGCTCTTAACGGGGCCATGAGCATGACAGAAGTGTAAAACATCAGTATATAAATACTAAGGGTAGGCTGAGTGTGGTTAGAACTGAAATATTCTTCAAGTCTTGTCCATAGGAGAAGGAAAACCTCGGAAGACACCGAAGGAGAAGAAGGACAGGAGAACTCCCTCAGATGGTAGGCCTTTCCCCTCAATTGTGTTATTTTAGGAGGCTCTTGATTCAGGAATTTGCTTTCATAATTTGTAGAATACCATTTTGAATATTCACCAATGGAGTCTCTCTCTATTTTCATTCCCAAAGCATTTAAAAGTGTGCTTTGGGATGCTTGGAGGAGAGTTGAATGTGGAGTAAAAATGCTGTAAGGATTTGAATTATTTTATAGCGATCATTAGCTAGAATTCTCCAGAAGTATAGAAACTAGGGATCTCTAGTGTTTGTTTTCGATAAAGAATATATTGAACCCTTTTATATTTAACAGTGACATGCATTACATTCCTGCTTGATTGTCAGTCTACAGATCTTTGTTCAGTCTGCTCTTGCTTCCCCCATATTCTCAGTGAGATAGGTCTGAAGGTGATTGAACCATGTACTTGCTTCCGGAGAAACTAATCTAGACAAAAGAGATCACTTACGGAGTTCATTTTGCTTCAGACATTTACGGAGTTGAGGGTGGGAACCCAGAGAGCCTTTTAAGGGATTCATTGGACTGCTTAATAAGTTTTTGTTTGAAATTCCTCAGAATGCTGGCACTCAAGTACTTCTTGTTACATGTGGTTAGGTACACTCCAGGCCAGGCTTGGCGATGTTGTAAAGGTCGACCTTGGGAATTTGAGTTCCAAACCCATCTTTAGCAGTCCCTGCTAAACATTCCTTTCTGCTTGTTAGACGAAGAGGACAACTTATTCGCACCCCCCAAGCTGACTGATGAAGATTTCTCTCCATTTGGCTCTCGAGGTGGCCTGTTCAGTGGAGGGAAGGGACTTTTTGATGATGAGGATGAGGAGGTGAGTCCGTGGTCATCAGTGGAGCTTGCCATAGTTGCATCATGGGTCTATAATTAGGTATGAAAAAAATGGCTTCTTAATTGCAAGTTGCTTCTACTTTCTTATTTTGGGAGATTTTGAACCAAAAATCACAAAGTGAGAAAATACTGTACCCTGATGTCCTGTGTGAGATGGAGAGAGATGTGAGAGTGTTAATAATGAATAATTTACTTGATCAAGGAGTTGTTTCTTACCTCATTTACTGTCTTCTTCTGTATTTTAGTTCCTGGGTAGGCCCAAACCATTTAAGGGTCTGATTTTGCCATAGTCTTTACTTTGGAATTGAATTTCTTGCAGGACAGTAAATATGTATCTTTAAACTTTATGAGGTAGTTTTCTTTAGAAATCCACAATGCAACTACATTTTCGTCTGCTTTTTTGAAGTTTTGTGTCCTATGCTTTATTACAACCAGAGTGATCTCTTCACGGAAGCCCCTCAGGATCAGGAAGCTCGAAGCTCTGTTAATGCAGGTGAGCTCGGATTTAGGCTGACTCTTCTTGTTTGGGAACAGAGTTCCAAGACAGTTTACTTCTCATTAGGAGATGGAACCCCTGAAGTTGTTCCCAGGCCTTGCTTCTTTGTTAGGCAGGAAGCTGTTCTGCTTGCCTTGGTCTAGTAAAAAGCAGCTAATTTTCATGTCTAATGACTAATTCATGTCTTGGAAAAGCAAAAAGTGCCACTTATAAACCAACATCATGGTTTTGTCTCTTCCTTGGGGGAGAATTCATAAAAAGTCAAAGAAGGAAAGTAGTCTTGAGCAGTGTTGAGGATATTTTAATTTAATCATGTTTAATTCAGTAGTCTTTTCTGTTTATTTATTTTGAGAGAGACAGAGACAGTGTGAGCAGGGGAGGGGCAGAAAGAGAAGGAGAGAGAGAGAATCCCAAGCAGGCTCCGCACTGTCAGTACAGAGCCCAACATGGGGCTTGAACTCGCGAAACTGCGAGGTCATGACCTGAGCCGAAGCTGAGAGCTGGATGCTTAACCGACTGAGCCACCCAGGCATCTCTAATCATCTTTAATTCAAAGAAACACTTCTAAAATTCTGTATATAAGTTGGAGGTCATTAATTCCATAGTCTGGTGTGCGTCAGAATCCTCTGTGGAGCACCCGTGAAAAGGGAAAAAAAAAAACTTAACAAATTTTATTCCATTAGGTATGTGGTAGTTCTTAGGAACTGGGACTTAGTTATGTGAAGTGAGCGGTCTCCTCGGGCCATCAGTCATCAGATTTTGGACTTGCTGTGACACTGGCTGGCTTGATGTCCTGCTGCCTGCCCTCCACTTCTCAGCATCAGTGGATGCTAGTTTCCCTCTTTACTGTTATTGTCTTCATATTTTTTGTTGATGTCTCATGTTTTTTGCTGTTCTTTCTACTTGTTTGTTCTCCAACTGGAATGGATAGAGGCGAAACTGTTAAGGAGCCCGGCTTGCTCTGCTTCTGCCTTCCCTGTTGTGTTCTACCCCTTCCTTGGCTTCCCCAACTAACCCCACTGCTATTGTTTGATCAGAGTGATCGTCCAAGGGAATCACAGCTTAGATTATATTAACGCCAATAAAAAAGTAATGCTGGTAGAGAGAAGAATAAGCTAAAGCTAAGGAGTTTTAAAATGGCTCTTTTGGGAAAAATTAGTTTTAAAAGGTTTCCACTTAGCTGTGTATTGTGTTGCACACATTTTAGGTACACTTAACAAGAAAAGTCATCTTTTCTGAAATGGTTATTTTTTTCTTTCTCGTTTTTAGTGTCTTCATCCTCCAAACCTGGAAAGAAAATCCCAGCAGGAGCTGTTTCTGTATTTTTAGGTACCCTAATTTAGGGTTTCTTTTTTAAAAAGCAAATAAGTACTGTTTTGTCATTTTTAAAATTGTCATCTAACTGCTTGCTGGAGAGGAGGCGGTTCAGAGGGCAACAAATAGCCTATGGGAAGAGCTCATTTACTGGTGTTAGCTCATATTCTCTTAGAAGTCAGTGGCCTTGGACTTGTGTTTCAGTGACCAGGTGATTTGCATCGTGGAATGTTCTGTAGCAGTAAAGGATGGGGATGACTGGGTCCTATTAATGTATTTTGGGGATGAATGGAAGCTAAATGTTCTTGGTGGGTGGTCCTTTTTTTTTTTTTTTTTTTTTTTCCTGTAAAGCCAGGGGACCCACACACACCAGCTCACAGCTATGGCTGCCCTGTCCCTCCACCCACAGGAGACACTGATGTGTTCGGTGCCACCTCTGTTCCATCACTGAAGGAGCCACAGAAGCCTGAGCAGCCTGCTCCAAGGAAAAGCCCGTACCCTCCAGCCCCTGCTGGCCTCTTCGATGATGACGATGACGATGACGACTTCTTTGCGGCATCCTCCAGCAAACCTTCCAAGACAGGTACCTGGTCCAGCCGGAAAAGGGCATAAAGCTTGTCCTGTTGTCTGTGTCCTGCCGTGCCCGGGTCCCTCCTCAAGCCCTCCTGCCACAGAGCTTCATCCCTGCTGCAGGAGTCATGGTGCCTTAGAAGTCTCTGTTTTATCAACCAATCTTTCCTGCTTTGGAAACTAATTACTAGGATTATCTGCCTCATGGAGAGCTGAAATCTGTTCCCCTGTAATACCTGCTAAAGATTTCTAGTTGTGATCTTTGCAATTGCAAAGTTTTTATTTTATTTGTTTATTTTTTTGATGTTTATTTATTTGTGAGAGAGAGAGAGAGAGAGAGCGCACAAGCAGGGGAGGGGCAGAGAGAAGGAGACACAGAATCCGAAGCAGGCTCTGAACTGTCAGCACAGAGCCCGACGTGGGGCTCAAACCCACGAACTGTGAGATCGTGACCTGAGCTGAAGTTGGACGCTTAACTGACTGAGCCACCCAGGCACCCCTGGAATTACAAAGTTTTAATCACACTTTCTTCTGGCAGCACTTAGTAAATTATATGACAGAATGCCACATGTTAGCTGTTCAGTTGCCAGCCTCTCTGGCCAGAAAGCCTACATATCCTTGATCTTTTCTTGTATGGCAGGGTTTTCAGCCCCTTGGCCACTTTGGCACTCTCCTTTCTTCTCCCCTCAAACTTAAGCCTGTCATTTCATGAAGTCTCTCTCCTAAATTATTTGTTCATTTATGTGCAGGTGAGTCTCCTGGGACTCTTGTCAGAATGCAGATTCAGATGCGGTGGGTACGGGCTGGGGCCTGTGATTGTACATTTCTAACAGGCTCCCTGGTGGGCAGAGATTGCTGGTCTGTGGGTCACACTTGGTGTTTTTCCAGAAAAGAAGGATAAATTACTGGGTGCACACCGTTTCCAGCAACATGAGGACTCTGTCTTATAAAGACTAGATGAACCAGGATTCAGTGAGAAGCATGTTTCCTGGACTTAGCTCCTTTTCCAGGGGTGGCTGTGAGAAGTAAGGATAGGAGAAGAAACCTGAGGGAAATAACCACCTGGTTATTACAGAAAGAGTACAAACGGACGCATAATACACTGAGATCTAGGCCAACTAAAATGACAGTGATTAAAGCTGGTGGTGCCTCTCTTGGTCTGGGAATGCTCTCACTTAGTGGGTTATCACTGAGAACTGATTAAGAGTCACGAGTAAGTTGGCAGCTGCCGCTCCCCTGGGACGTTCACAAATCAATGTCCTCCTTTCAGTGATGCACAGCTCAATCAGTGCAGCAGTGCTCCTGGTAGTGAAAGGTCAGAAACTCCCCAGGTGCTCATCCCTAGGTTACATTACGGTTGTCTTGTTTAGTGGAATTTGGTGAAGTGTTAAAAAGAATGAAGTCTGTATATGTTAACATGGGAAGATTCGCTAGGCAGATTAAGTGAAAAACATAAATCCTAAGACCTATTATTAGAATCGTGTTGTCATTTATAGCCTTACCTGTGAATCACTAAAGAGAGCATCCTAGCATATCCTCTGGGGAAATTAGATGTGTGTGTTCCCAGTGGTCGTCTTGTTTGGGTGGGCAGGTGGAGTTATGGGGGAGATTCCAGTAGTATTTGCTTTTATATGCCCCTGTAGATTGACTTTTAATTTTTATTTATTTATTATTATTTTTTTAAAGATTTTATTTTCAGGTAATCTCTACACCCAACATGGGCCTTGAACTCATAACCATGAGATCAACAGCCACAGGTTCTACTGACTGAGCTAGCCAGGCACCCCAGTAGTTTGATTTTTTACAAAGAGGAGCCAACCCTCACTTCACAGATTCCTAGGATGGTTGCTTCTTTTGTTGTTGTTGTTTAATTATTATTATTATTTTTGAGAGGGAGCGAGAGTGTGAGAGAGAGGGCATGGAAGCGGGGGAGGGGCAGAAGGAAAGGCTGGGGTGGAGGAAATCCCAAGCAGGTTCTATGCCCAACGCAGAGACCCACATGGGATTCCATCTCATGACTGAGATCATGACCTGAACCAAAATCAAGAGTCGGATGCTTAACCAACTGAACCACCCAAGTGCCCCCACCCCCCAATTTTTTTTTTTTTGGGGTGGTTGCTTCTTAAATAATCTTTCTTTAGGTCTGTATTTACCTTTTATGCTAGTCCAAGCTACTCTAAGCATAAGATGCTGGCTGCTTGGATGAGTGTATGAGCCAGGTGGTTAAATCATTGGTCCTGTGTTTCATTTGGGCTCTTTTGTGTTCTTTGAAAAATCCAATGTAATCCACTTCAAATTGCTTCATAACTAATAAAAAAAAAATAATTTTCTATTTACTTCTTGGGAGGGAAGGATTTTTTTTTTACTTTATTAAAAAAATTTTTTTAACGTTTATTTATTTTTGAGAGACAGAGAGCACAAGCAGGGGAGGAGCAGAGAGGGAGGGACACACAGAATCCAAAGCAGGCTCCAGGCTTTGAGCTGTCAGCACAGAGCCCGACGCGGGGCTTGAACTCCTGGACCGCAAGATCATGACCTGAGCTGAAGTCAGCCGCTTACCCAACTGAGCCACCCAGACACCCCGGGGAGGATTTTTAATCTATGAATTTAGTGGTGGGATTTTTGACCTTAGTATAATTTTGTGCCGTGGTATCTTTTCTAAAGACAAAGTCAAATCCACTGCCAGTATCTTTGATGATGAGGAAGGAGACCTGTTCAAAGAAAAAGCAGCTGCTTTGCCAGAAGCCACTGTGAATCAGACAGATGAAAAAAAAGCAAGGGCAGAAAAAAAGGTGAGCGGGAAAGAAGACTTAATGTAGTTAAGTCTTGTTAAGTGTTGTCCTGGGACATCTTGTTAATTCATCTGGAACCCAGAGGGAAGTGGTGTTTCCTTTCAAGTGTATGGTGTCTTAAAATTGTTCAACATCCAGCAAAGGTGAAAGAAGAATACAGTGAACACCCAAACGCCTACCACCTAGATTGAGCACTTGTTGGATTTGAGCACTTTGTTGGATGACCTATTGATGATCTTTTCCTGAATCACGTTAAGGGGTAACAAAGAATGTTTTTCCAATTCTCTCCTATCTTCTACATTAGCTGACATTTTTCCAAACAGAACAGAAGAGCTTTCTCTCCCTCTTTCCTGCTTTTTTAGTTATCTCTATAGGATCATGGATGCTATTCAACCTATTATAAACTATTAGCATCATTTTGTTTGTTTTTTGGGTTTTTTTTGTTTTTTGATACTGAAATGAACTTGTATTTGGCCAACTGGATGCATCCCCATCAGCTTTAAAGCTCTTTTGGCTGCTGTCCCTTTCCTTAGTATCTTCCATGGTTAGATCTGTTTTCCCTCCCCT